GTTTCATACGACACTCACCTGGATGTCCATTATGGAGATCTTCAAGGACTTGCTGGTGGTAAATTTTGGGAATAACAATTCTCTCACCAAAGAAAATACTCTGTTGTTGGATCGTAAGATGATGTCGATGCTGGAAAAATGCTGCTACTTCATTATCTGTGATTTGTTTTTTCTTTTGAGGCCAGCAGTCATTTTGGATGTAGAACGTGACCTTATTGAGAGTATGGCAGGCTTTGGTTGCTGTTTGAATATTAGTGAAAGTGATTGGAAGTTTGGCGGCTGTTTCTATCGCAAAACAATTGATGTTCAGGTCCTCGTCTTCTTCTAATTGAATAGATGCTATGACGGTATCTTCATCAGGTTTTACATGGTTTGCGATTAGTCGAGAAATAATATCGGCATATCCAAAGCTTTCAGTATTTATGTATTCAATAGAGAAGTCGTATGACAGAATAGTGCATGGCGAGCCCGTACACAACGGATGGCCATTTTCGGTTGAATTAGCAAGAAGTGTGTGGTCGATATGAATGGTAAAACGACGACCAGAAATGTAATAGTGACATTTTTTTAATCCAAACACGAGAGCTCGAACCTCCTTGTGCATTTGAGGATACTTCCGCTCCGCTGCATTGAATGTAGCTGAGTAGTGCATAATTGGGTGAAGCGTTCCGTCATTAAATTGATGCATGACTTATTATTGGTGGTGGGAGATCTTGGATTGATCGAAGTTTCCCTGGATGTGGTCTGATACCATATTGATCTACCGTGTGTCCGCAGAACTCGATAGATGTTTCTCCAAACTTGCATTTCTCGAAGCGAAGTTTGAATCCATAATCCTGAATACGCTTTAGGGTTTTAAACAGTTGAATTTTGTGGTCTTCTTTATTAATTCCCGAACAGATCATATCATCAATAAACCCAATGGTATTGGTTCCGCTAAGCATTGTGTCAACAATTTGTTGAAAAATGCCAGGGGCTGTTTTAACACCTTGCTGCAGTCTAAGTACTTTAAATAAGCCGAGGTGAGTATTGATAGCCATCAGTTTTTGAGATTCTTGGTCCACTGGAATCTGGAACAATGCATTTGATAGGTCAATTGTGCTAAAGACTTTCATATTAGCGAGGTTGGAGAATATTTGGTCAGGCGTTGGAAGAGGATATTTATTTGGCTCTAGACCGTCATTTAGACCTGTAGAATAATCGGCACATATACGAATTTTTCCATTCTTCTTTCTTACAACTACGATTGGCGCCGCTGACTGTGAGTATTCAATTGGTAAAATTACTCCAAGATGTTGAAGACGTTCAAGTTCTGCCGAAACAATGGGAGCTGCTGCATATGGAACTAGTCGAGCGTACAGCAGCCAATGTCATTAGAAAAGAGAGACGGAAATCTAGCCTTTATTTCATCGTTTAATTTATCGCTACTAGTTAGTTGGATTGCTTTGCAAAAGGAACTGATAGGCACTGACCATAAGTCAAATGTCGTTATCTAATCAATTCCAAACACGTTCAACTTAAGTGGTGTGCCATAACACACATCATATTCCTCTCTTCCATTTAGGTTCACAACACAAGCAAAGCTGCCCAGAAGAGGAATTACATTTCCAGAAGCATCGCCAGCTTTTTTATTAGTAGTTTGTAGGGTTGGCTGGTCAAGTTTGGTCCAGTTCGATTTGGAAATAATTGTTATGTCCGACCCGGCATCAAGTTGGAGTTTAATTGTAGATCCATTGAGATTTGGTCTGACATACCTACGATGCTGCTGCATTCTGTTAGTTTCGTCAATTTTCTTTACACATGATGTGTCAGGCTAAGATTGCTTGCTTGGCTTCATATTGCAGTAACCATTTTTGTGGCCAATAGTGTTACATGCTGAACATTATTTGCCTTTAAATGGGCAATCTTTAACCCAATGAAGACCTCCACAACATCAACATGGCGTTGGTGGTTTCGAAGATTCGTCTTTTGTTGAAGAATTTGATAGTAATGATTCATTTTTGCGTTGATATCGATGGTGAATTGTAAAAATTTCTGAACTTGAAGATAGCTGGACGACAGTGTATTTGTCTTGCTTCAGACAGATTATACGTTCAGCTTCATTAGTGAGGTCTTGAAGTGTTAAGTGCATGAAGGCATCCTTTTGCGCCTGTGTCTGAAGTGCACCAAACTGTGTTGATTCATCGTCGAGTCTTGCAAGAAGTTTCTCAAGTATTAACGAATTGTGTGAACTCTTCAAGCCATTAACAAAGATTTGTGCTTTAAACTCATCAGGAGCGCAATTAACGATGTCAAATTTTTCACAATGTTTGTTGACGCGAGCTGAATACTGAGCAAAGTCTTCATAATCCTGTTTTGAAATTGTAAGACATTTTTGGCGCTGAGAGTTTGGCAACCGTTTGCATGAGTGTAAGCTCATGGGGTTCCTTTAGTAAGATTGAGTTTGCATACATATTGCTCGAAATCCAAATTTTTTAATTTGCTAGTGAGCAATCGAACCTTAGTCGGCTCAGTGAGATGTGCTGCTTCTATAGCGAAAACTGATTTATAACGCTTGTACCATGATTCAAATGTGACATTATTTTCAGGATCATAGCAAAACTCCAGCATTGAGTCAGATAGATTCCTGAATGTTGACGAAACTGCTTGTGTAGTTGAAGAAGGCGCATCAATTTATTGTTGTGTCCACGACAAACGAAGCTTCTCAAGCAAAGCGTTATTTGATTTTTGCACAGCTTCCAACAACAAATTAAACTGTTCCGCATTCATGTTAGCTTTATCCTCGTCGCCAATGTAGTAACTTCGCTAGTTACACATAAATACAGTTCTATATTATTTCGTATCACTTTATTTATCTAATTACAATACAACACACTAATTGTTAATCTTACACCAAACGCTTATCTTGCCGCCCTTTTTCTGACAGCTGCTCTTATCTTGTCCCGTGTTGTACAACGTACGTTTACTACCAGTGTTGTACTACGTCCGTTCGATTTGGAACAATGAATGGTTCAACTGTATGCGTGAATTCTGGAACTTCAAACAGTTCATTTAGTACGTTTTTTGTATAACGATACTTCAGCTGGTTTACATGTGCTTTAATAACGCGCTCATTACTTTCCTGGTCAATTTTGACTTCATAATTGACTACTCCAAGTTTCTTTATGATTACAGCAGGTTTCATACGACACTCACCTGGATGTCCATTATGGAGATCTTCAAGGACTTGCTGGTGGTAAATTTTGGGAATAACAATTCTCTCACCAAAGAAAATACTCTGTTGTTGGATCGTAAGATGATGTCGATGCTGGAAAAACTGCCGCTACTTCATTATCTGTGATTTGTTTTCTCTTTTGAGGCCAGCAGTCATTTTGAATGTAGAACGTGACCTTATTAAGAGTATGACAGGCTTTGGTTGCTGTTTCAATATTAGTGAAAGTGATTGGAAGTTTGGTGGCTGTTTCTACCGCAAAACAATTGATTTTCAGGTCCTCGTCTTCTTCTAATTGAATAGATGCTATGATGGTATCTTCATCAGGTTTTACATGGTTTGCGATTAGTCGAGAAATAATATCGGCATATCCAAAGCTGTCAGTATTTATGTATTCAATAGAGAAGTCGTATGACAGAATAGTGGTTGCATAGGCGAGCCGCTGTAAACAACGGGATGCCATTTTTCGGGTTGAATATAGCAAGAAGTGGCTTGTGGTCGATATGAATGGTAAAACGACGACCAGAAATGTAATAGTGACATTTTTTTAATCCAAACACGAGAGCTCGAACCTCCTTGTGCATTTGAGGATACTTCCGCTCCGCTGCATTGAATGTAGCTGAGTAGTGCATAATTGGGTGAAGCGTTCCGTCATTAAATTGATGCATGACTTATTATTGGTGGTGGGAGATCTTGGATTGATCGAAGTTTCCCTGGATGTGGTCTGATACCATATTGATCTACCGTGTGTCCGCAGAACTCGATAGATGTTTCTCCAAACTTGCATTTCTCGAAGCGAAGTTTGAATCCATAATCCTGAATACGCTTTAGGGTTTTAAACAGTTGAATTTTGTGGTCTTCTTTATTAATTCCCGAACAGATCATATCATCAATAAACCCAATGGTATTGGTTCCGCTAAGCATTGTGTCAACAATTTGTTGAAAAATGCCAGGGGCTGTTTTAACACCTTGCTGCAGTCTAAGTACTTTAAATAAGCCGAGGTGAGTATTGATAGCCATCAGTTTTTGAGATTCTTGGTCCACTGGAATCTGGAACAATGCATTTGATAGGTCAATTGTGCTAAAGACTTTCATATTAGCGAGGTTGGAGAATATTTGGTCAGGCGTTGGAAGAGGATATTTATTTGGCTCTAGACCGTCATTTAGACCTGTAGAATAATCGGCACATATACGAATTTTTCCATTCTTCTTTCTTACAACTACGATTGGCGCCGCTGACTGTGAGTATTCAATTGGTAAAATTACTCCAAGATGTTGAAGACGTTCAAGTTCTGCCGAAACAATGGGAGCTGCTGCATATGGAACTAGTCGAGCGTACAGCAGCCAATGTCATTAGAAAAGAGAGACGGAAATCTAGCCTTTATTTCATCGTTTAATTTATCGCTACTAGTTAGTTGGATTGCTTTGCAAAAGGAACTGATAGGCACTGACCATAAGTCAAATGTCGTTATCTAATCAATTCCAAACACGTTCAACTTAAGTGGTGTGCCATAACACACATCATATTCCTCTCTTCCATTTAGGTTCACAACACAAGCAAAGCTGCCCAGAAGAGGAATTACATTTCCAGAAGCATCGCCAGCTTTTTTATTAGTAGTTTGTAGGGTTGGCTGGTCAAGTTTGGTCCAGTTCGATTTGGAAATAATTGTTATGTCCGACCCGGCATCAAGTTGGAGTTTAATTGTAGATCCATTGAGATTTGGTCTGACATACCTACGATGCTGCTGCATTCTGTTAGTTTCGTCAATTTTCTTTACACATGATGTGTCAGGCTAAGATTGCTTGCTTGGCTTCATATTGCAGTAACCATTTTTGTGGCCAATAGTGTTACATGCTGAACATTATTTGCCTTTAAATGGGCAATCTTTAACCCAATGAAGACCTCCACAACATCAACATGGCGTTGGTGGTTTCGAAGATTCGTCTTTTGTTGAAGAATTTGATAGTAATGATTCATTTTTGCGTTGATATCGATGGTGAATTGTAAAAATTTCTGAACTTGAAGATAGCTGGACGACAGTGTATTTGTCTTGCTTCAGACAGATTATACGTTCAGCTTCATTAGTGAGGTCTTGAAGTGTTAAGTGCATGAAGGCATCCTTTTGCGCCTGTGTCTGAAGTGCACCAAACTGTGTTGATTCATCGTCGAGTCTTGCAAGAAGTTTCTCAAGTATTAACGAATTGTGTGAACTCTTCAAGCCATTAACAAAGATTTGTGCTTTAAACTCATCAGGAGCGCAATTAACGATGTCAAATTTTTCACAATGTTTGTTGACGCGAGCTAAATACTGAGCAAAGTCTTCATAATCCTGTTTTGAAATTGTAAGACATTTTTGGCGCTGAGAGTTTGGCAACCGTTTGCATGAGTGTAAGCTCATGGGGTTCCTTTAGTAAGATTGAGTTTGCATACATATTGCTCGAAATCCAAATTTTTTAATTTGCTAGTGAGCAATCGAACCTTAGTCGGCTCAGTGAGATGTGCTGCTTCTATAGCGAAAA